AGGGTCCAGGTGCTAGACTAAGTCCGAGTACTAGACTAAGTCCGAGTACTAGACTAAGTCCGAGTACTAGACTAAGTCCAGAGGTATCTGGTGCAGAGATATCGGGGGCAGGCGCAGGTAGGAAGGGTGGGCAAAAGTCCCAGTGTAGTCTGAAGGCGATCGGGCTGGGGAACAAGACGTATTTGGCGGTCAGCGCGGCCGTAGAAAGCGTATTCGCGGCGGAGTCGTTGCTGGAGGGTTGTCTGGGGTCTGCGTCTGCCGGTTGGTGGGAGGTGACAAGTTACAGTCCACCAGGGAATGTATTTGACCGGACGACGCCGGTTTTGGTGTCGGACGTGCAGCACCCGGGTTGGAAGGAGTGTGTCACACGGGTCAAGTGTCTGAGGACTGTGGAGTGTGTGCCTGACGACACACTTCTGCACCCCGACCAGGTTGCCCGTGTAAAAGAAGCTGGGTTGGAGAAAACAAGACTGGTCGAGTTTCAGATCGAGATTCTTTCTGGGAGGCGGCACCAGATCAGGTGTGTAATGTCTTGGTTGGGTCTGCCGCTCCTGTTTGATAACGAGTACATTGTTATGAAGGGCAAGAACTGCAATTCCCTGGAGGAGATCGAGACGTGCGCTGCGTACCATGGCCATCTCAGAAAAAGGTGGCAGCAAGAATTGCACCAAGCTCTCCAAGCGACTCCGAACCTCACACCCTCACTTGAATGCTCGATGTGGCAAATGCCACCGGATGCGCCTGAGCTCCTTAAACTCATGAACGAGGCAAACAAATCCGACACGATCCCGAGACCCATCGGACTTTGTGCTCATCAACTCACCGTTAACGGAAAGTACACCACCGAACCCATCAAGCCCTGGTGGTGCTCGCACTCCAGAGCCTCAGTAGCTCAATAGGGACTACGATGGCGAAAGCGCCCCGACACCTTTGGACGTCCGCTTTAGACGTCCTTCCTTCAGCGAAAGCCACCGGCCACCTGCCGTCGTGACCACCTGCCGTCGTGACCACCACTTCATGTTGGGACCACCTAAACCTTCCCCCATGAGATTCTTCGTGATCTTTTTTTATGGTCATACGATTATCTAACCAACGAGATGCCACCTTCGACGTGATGCTCAAGACCATCATGTTGGGTGACTCCAATGTTGGCAAAACCTGTATTCTGCTCCGGTTTGCAGAAGATGGTTTTAACCCCGGTCATATCGCTACAATAGGTGTCGATTTCAAGAATAAGATTGTGAACGTTCATAACTCCAAAGTGAAACTTCAAATATGGGATAGCGGTAAACATTCGTGCATAAGATCACCACCACGTGCAGCTTCGCCACCCATAGCGACATGACCCACAGCTTCGCCACCCATAGCGACATGACCCACAGCTTCGCCACCCATAGCGACATGACCCATAGCTTCGCCACCCGTAGCGACATCACCCACCCACAGCTTCGTATTTTTCAGCTGGACAAGAACGCTTTAGGACTTTGACATATTGTAAGCAAAATGATTCGCCGCCATCCAATCTGTTGTAGCATACTACCGGAATAGTCAGGGATTTATATTGACGTATGATATCACTAATCGGCAATCCTATTTAAGTAAGATATTGTATGTTAACCGCTGGGCTGTCACCGGGCGCTGGGCTAGCACTGGGTTACCGCTGTGCGCTGGGCTAGCACTGGGTTACCGCTGTGCGCTGGGCTAGCGCTGGGTTACCGTGCTGTCTTTATGTCAACCGCTGGGCGCTGTGCTACACATATTTTGCAGATATAAGCTCATGGCTGAATGGGATCCGAGAACATTGTCCCAAGCACGTCACGATTGTGCTGGTTGGTAATAAAATGGATTGTGATGCGTCCCAGCGAGAAGTTTCATATGAGGAAGCTGAGGCGTTCGCGCTTTCGCAGGAAATCCGGTTTTTTGAAACGAGCGCTTTGACCGGCTTCGGTGTCGAGGATGTATTCTTCTTCCTAGCTGGAAAAGCCGCCAGCACAGCCAACGTCACTGGATCGGCGTACCAGAGTCCACTTTATGCCGGTTCCTTATCCACGGATTCCTTTTCGGAGAATCATAGGCCAGCTTGTTGCTACATGATGTAGACCGTCCACGGATGTAGACCGTCCACGGATGTAGGCCGTCCACGGATGTAGACGGGCGAGACTTATTTTAGATGGTCGACAGTTATTTTAGACGGGCGAGAGTTATGTAATGCGGAGTATTATGTGAGTGGCCGACCGGCTGGTCGGTCCTGCATGATATTGTGTTGGTGCATAATATGTTATCAGGCGCATCAGGTCATTGACAAGTTGGTTAAAATACGGGTGCCGTGAGATAAGTGGCTTGGACCCATGATGCTACATTCATGATGAGTTCTTCTGGGATCAACATGAGGGCCTCTCCTTCTGGAGTGGCCACGGGCACAGCTGCGCTCATGCGCGATTCTAGGGGGTTAGTGTGTTGTGCATCGGACATGTCTTCGAGTATTCTCCAACTGAATATATCATTGGGGACCTTATGACCTTCTGCCTCACTTTTTTCTAATCGGAAGAGCTGTTCGGCAATGTTCATTGCTATTTCTGCCACATCCAACAAACATAGTTTACCATCTTGGTCGGACATTAGTTGCAAATAATCAGGTACAGCAGCTAGCTCCGACAGTGCCTGTCGATCTTCTACATTCGGTGGTTGCAGAAATACTTCTGGGTGGTTCCGTATAAGCGGCGAAGTCTCTTCAATTCTCGATTTCAGCTTCCATCCGAATCTTGGACACCCAAATTGCTTCATTACCTTATGCGTCTCGCGATCAATATCCTCAGGCATGACCCCATTGCCCCCATCATCCTTAAGCGCATCCAATAAATTCATCTGAGACTGCAAATCCCTCGCATCAGTAATCCCATATTTATCCGCCAAGTTAGCCGCACGTCGAGCTATGTTAATACTCAAACTCACCAAGTCTAAATCGCTCAATGACACACCAGATCTCTCGTTCTGAAACGACAAATGGAAGCCGACCGCTGGATAACCCATCTCCGAGACATTTCGCCACCCTAGGTCTAACACAAACACGTTGCAAGTGGCTGACATGGCCTACGCGGTGGGGGGCAGTGTGTCCTGTGGCGTGCTGTCTGTCTTGTGGCACGTGACTGGTATGGCCATTATGATGACGCAACCACACGCGTGTTTGCCTCTGAGTCGGTCGTGTTGGTCGTAAAGTCCAAGGTAATATCTGGCTAGAAGTGCTTGTATTTACCTGGATCAGCGGTGACGTATTTGGGTAGTTTAGGGGTGGTGGGGGTTTCCACCGGTCGTGAGTTGATTTTGGATTGCATACACCCCATATTTTTGATGGACTGGTTGTGGGTTGCGCTGTTGGTATTTTGTCAATCCTGTAAAGGCGATGCGGACGACCTGATAGTTCCTTTTGAAGACTACCCCGATGTGCCTCAAGCAAACAAGGACGATATGGCCGCAGCGCTGACTGCAATGGGCTCAGTCGTCGGGCTAGTGACTTTAACTCTGATGCGGGGTCGTGGCCTGGATATTACGCAGCTCGTGCTGCCTGCACAAATCTGGTTCAAGAGGCATGTGTTGTCCGCGGCGGAAGTCTGTCGAACCAAGTGCACTAGGACGTTAAAACACAACACAGACGATGAAGCAGAACTGCAGGAACCTACAGACCGTTTGACCCTAGTGCTTCGCCCGCCCGCTCTGCAAACCGTGCCTTCTTTCTGTAAGAAAGCTACCACTAGATTGCTGCAACCGAAATCGATGGGCCTTTCTTCAAGTGTCGAGGAAGAGGAATTCGGGCAACGCCGGATCCTCGCACCTCGGACACCCCAACGGCTCAGGACACTTTCCTCTTACACGCTCCCCGTCACCAGCCGAAAGACACCCTGTCAACGCAAGCATTCCTCGCCTGCCGACAGCCCCCGCGGAAGTGTCACGTCCGCCACTACCTCGGGCCGCCGCGATTCCATCAGCATCAAAGCTAAACGACTTCTCGCACGATTACTCATGCAACCAGACTATACCGGCCTCAGCTGGGAGTGCCAACTGCGGCCTCCACGCCTTTCGTTCGCCGGATGGGAAAGCCGGTACAAAGACGAAAACTGGCGGCTTCTAATGCGAATGCTCGACGACGAGAATCCCACCTTAGAATGCGATTTTGAGGACAGTGTGGTCTAACCTTGTGCTGTAACTCTATGGTATGACTCTGTGATAAGATTCTGTGCCCTAACTCTGTGCTCTAACTGTGTGGTTGCCCACACCCGCTCTCGCGTACATCCACCCGCTCTCCACCATTCCATATACATCGACGGTATGTTTCGTGACTCCGTTGTGGGTTACTAACACTCCGGTAGTTGCTCCCGGTAGTGGGTTGCCGTCAGTAATGAGCTGGGCCGCTCCAGGATTTGATTGCCCCGAAACTATCGATTTTTGGTGCGGCTATTTTGGCATGCCAGTTACGCCGGTAATTATTCTCAGCGGCTTTCTAGGCTCAGGCAAGACCACCTTGTTGAAGAACTTGTTGGAGAATGTGGATGGTCACAGGATAGCAGTTGTTCGGAACGAATTTTCGGACGGCCCGATGGACTTCGAGGCCCCGCTGCTGGTGGAGGAAGACGAAGACATTGGTGTGGTCATGGAGCTTCCCAACACGTGTGTTTGTTGTTCTGCCAAGTCCTACTTTGTTGCCTCAATCAACAACCTCATAAAGAAGAATAAGGGCGCTCCTTTTGACTTTGTTATCGCCGAGATCTCGGGCCTCACTGATCCCATTGCGGTCGCAGACGAATTCATCTCTTCCTTCGACCCGGTGGACGACTTGGCGAGATTGACGGCACTTGTAACGGTCCTGGATGCCCACAGGACCTCTCTCTTACTGCCAGGTCATGTCTCTACTACGGACTCACCTGGCCCCGCAAGGACAAGCACCACCACCCCAGGGCCTCCCTCCCGGATGGCAGCGTCTCCGGTGGCAGCGTCCCGGACGGCGACAAGCTCAGATGGGGCAGCAACAAGTGGTCAGGCAGAGGAAGGAGGCGGAGGTAGCAAGGCGGTTGAAGGTGAGCACCAGTTGAGTTGCAGCGAATTGCTGGTTCGATTTTTGGTGTCGGCAGATATGGTGTTATGTAACAAAGTGGACCTGATAGCGGCGGAGGAGCGTGTGTGTCACCTACGCAAGTGGCACAGCCGGATCCGTGCGATGGCTCCGGACGCCATGATTGTGGACACAGTATACTCAAACGTGCCCATTGGGTCACTTTTGCGTCTGGCCCGCTCGAACCCGGGCTGTACGTGCTGTGTAGGCGAGGCAACGTGCCGGTACAGCCAAGAAGCGCCCACCTCGTTGGTTCGCGTGCTATCTCGCGACAAGGGCGACAGCAAAAGCCTAGACCTCGAAAAACTGCTCGGAGATCACGGCCTCCTTTCCGCAGATCTCTCTGACGACTACTTCTATGCCGGAATTACACAACCCGTGAGCAGCTATCCCGAACCCCATGAATGGGTCCATGGCATCAGCCGAGTCGTCATCGGTGGCCGGACCTCAGCGGACATCGTGCTCTCGACCGAACAATTAACGGAACTGGAGTGCAGACTATGCAACTGGGTCTGGGAAACGAAACCCCTTCTGTATAGAGCAAAAGGACTAATACAGACCAATACTAATCACTGGGCAGAACTCCAAATATGCGGGGAGTCTGTAGCCATATCTAATCTCGACAACGCAACCATAAGTAAGCAAAACACACACTTCTGCTGGGTGCAACTTCGACAACAGGGTTCGGTATCCTGCAAGTGAACTCCTGCGGGGTTTACTACTGCCTCATTCCTTTTGTGTTAGAGGGCAAGACTCGATGCCTCTTCATTGGGCGAGATTTGGACAGAGAGACGATTTTGAACATGTTTGTATTCTGAAGGACAGCTACTCCAGCTGCACTCCAATCAGCTTGCGTGTTTGGCAAGTCTGGTTGGTTGACACGTGGCTGGTTGACACGTGACAAGTTGACACCTGACAGGTTAACTTTCGGGTTAGGTTCCAAGCTGTTATATAAAGTCTCTATGTGACGGCCTCCTCGTGAGCGCCACCGGTGGATGCTTCGGTGCGATCTCGACCAGTGGA